TACTGTCTGCTTTGCGCTTGCCTCTGTCCGTGTCTGTCAGATTTCATAAGCGTTTCTGGTTCTTCGTTTTCGTTGGCAACCCTTAACATGGTCCTGGTTAATACTTTGACGTCACAAACACATTTCTGGTTAGGGGCTGCCAAAAACACACCCAAAATTGGTATGTGACAGAGTATGACTGAATATAGTCACGTGTCTCTTTGTGACTCCCAGTTGAATTTTCTGTTTGCTTTTAGAACATAAACCAACGTCGTCCGTTGCTTGTCAAAATCCGCTCACGGATGAAAAGCAGCAAACTTACTTGATTGGGTGCAAACACACAGTCTCCTGTGTACCTGTAGCCTTACATCGAATGAGGTGGCAACAGTGCTAATTATCACATAAAATGAAAGGCAGTGGATTGAAGAATGTCGAATAAAATTTGAAACATTGCAATGAAAACGTCACTAAACTTGGCCCTAAAAAATCCATCCATGTACCGGTACTTTTCATCTTCGTGGAACGAGAGGGAAGGGCGAGATGCGCATCCATCAGCAGTACAGTCTGCGTCTTGAAATATGAACCATTTAAGTGTGCGGTTGGTGTTCAGGCTACTCAGGAAAAACGAAACACATATCAGCAAACTGGAATGTTATCATGATTTTACCATCAGCTGACACAAGCTTCCGCTGATGAATTGGGCGCATTCGTCTGGTCATCAGTCACTGAGTTTCACCAACAATGACACAACCCTCTTCACAAGACCCTTGAGACAGGTTGAGGCACTAAACAGCTTGCAGGCACCGTTATACCGAACAGCATTTCATGGGTTTCAGTATATACCCACCGGTCTGCATTTTAGTTAGCGCAAATAGGGCAATTTAGGCTTTGAACGCAAGAAAACAATGTGACGTAGAAAACATATTCCAACTCTCAAAACTACTGAGTTCTACCGCAAAGTGGATCTACAAAAATTGACTTGGTAACAGGTGCAACTAAGAAAAAAGAAATATAAAAAAAACTCTGAAAGACAACTGCAAAATTGAACGCAGAGGTGATTTTCCAACAATAAACAATAAAAAACTACAACGT